AAATAGACCAACAGAATCTCTGTGTGTACCTGGAGATCTCTATATATCTATGCGTGTCTCTCTATATGTATTTATAGCTAGATACACACACACACACAGATATATATCTATTTAGCTATATATAATTATATAACAATTACATATAACAATGTAGATGTGTGTATATTTGTGTGTTTAAATGTTAGTCTCATTAAAAACAAAGAAACAAAAGAAAAACCCCAAAAAACAAAAAAACCTCCTTCACAGAAATACCTAGAATAATGTTTGACCAGATACCTGGGTACAATGTAAATTTATGACACATCAACTTAACCATCACATGCACTCTATTCCCATTCTTTCTACAGAGGGCATTAATACGTTGGTGTAATTCATCTAGATGTTTCCTGTGCATTTTCTGGATGTTTGTGTGTGTGTGTTGGTCACCTTTTTTCTTCCTGCCTCCCCCTCTTTATTTGTCAACATAATAAATGATGCTGCTAATATTTCTGGTGTTAGATCCTCATTTCTTCCTGCAAGGAATGGGGTCTGCATTTGTTTATTTGGTTTTTTTCCATGTACCAACCCTTACAATTTTTAAGCAGAAGCATCTCAACCCATTTTGTTGTTGTCCTTCCAACTTTTCTGTGGTGTGTTGGCTTCAAAATTAAGCTTCTGTTTGGAGGGACTAGAATTTCCTGCTGATGTCCAAATGGGAACTTCCACTTGTAGGTAGTTTACTTATTTTTTTTCTTAATAATATTATTTTATTCTCATGGACAGTTTGCTTATAATTAAAAAAAATCCTATATGTGGCTTTAGGAACCATCCACAAATGGGCTTCTGTCATTAGAGCAAGTGGTTAATATTTATCTGCCTTCTTTAAAAAAAAATGTTTACTTATTTTTGAGAGAGAGAGAGAGAGAGAGAGAGAGCGTGAACTGGGGAGGGGCAGAGAGAGAGGGAGACATGGAATCCGAAGCAGGCTCCAGGCTCTGAGCTGTTAGCACAGAGCCCGATGCAGGGCTCGAACCCACGAACCGTGAGATCATGACCTGAGCCTAAGTCGGATGCTCCATCGACTGAGCCATCCAGGTGCTCCAATATTTATTTGCCTTTGTGATGAGACTTTTGTTGCAGTTGGTCTTGGGAAACCATGGTCTGAGGTGGCCAAAGACTCTACCTCCAATGTTCCTGTCAAGGGGCACCAAGGGGCCCCAGTTTAAACAGAGTTTAACCTGCAGTTAAACACTAATCTTACACAGGGAAATATCAGACTTATGGGATAGACTCCCAGGGGGCAGGGAACAAAGACAATTGTCTTTAATAGTAATGTAAGTCAGTCTCTGTTGGGAGACTAGATACATCCCTTCTGTTTCTGATACCATTTTATCCTGAGCCTTCCAAGTTAGTTGTCTATTTTTCCCCCGGATACTCTTCATTTTTGACCTAAGGTCTTGCCAAGATTTCCCCAAGGCTACTGCCAGCAGTAGCATGCTGCACGTTTTGGGAAGTCTTGCATTAGGTGGCTGGAAGGGGCTGTGGGTCCAGAGTGGACCCTCCCAGTGGTTGTGGTAACAAGGAATGGAGGTGAGCATCTCAAAAGAGAGAGCTGAACCAAGAGGCAGGTGCACAGGAGCACTGGAGAACATTCATTGCTTTATTATCTGCCGATGGAAATTCCTCCTGTTAACCTAGAGTCCTGAGGTAACCATTGGATGGCCAGACTGGCAAAGGTGGACACCCTTTGGGATATTTCTGAAGGGCAGGTTTTCAATATGTGTTGAAAGCTTTCAAGATACCTCTTTACTACAGTCCAGAAATACTACTTCTGAGAATGTCTCCTGAGACCGTAAGGAATGAGATGCATGAAGGTGTGGTTCGTGGGACTTCCACTGCAAATTTTACTCACAATAGCGAGAAATAGGAATCAATCTCAGTATCTAGGAGTGAGGATTCATTAAATAACTATGAATCGTTATTATATAGTAGATACTATTGTAGATATATAATGGCTATTGTATACTAGATACTACTATGCTGTGTTCTAGAATATAATGTTCCGTGTCTGCTGGAGATGTTGACACGAAGTGTTTTTATTGATTTGAAAAGATGTTGCTCATATATTCCTCATTGAAACATAATAGCAGATAATCCTATTTTGGCATAGAAAAAATTGTGTGTGTGTGTGTGTGTGTGTGTGTGTGTGTGTGTGTGTGTGTGTGTGTAAGATTGTGTATGTCTGGGTAATTCTTTTCTTCTCTGTTTTCAGATTTTTTTTCTGTAATAAATATGAGCCTCTTGTGTAATCATGTAGAAAGGAAGAGGTTACATTGTGTCCAGCATGCCTTGTTTATAAGTCTGCAAATTGTAGACCACTTGAGAAATACCTCCATCCAAAGAAGTTCAAAATGAGATTTTGGCACTTGCCAAATGGAGTCACAAGTTTTCCAGACCCTTTATGCAGCAGTGAGCTCACAAGGTGGGTGGGAGGATGTGGATGTTGGTGGCAGTGAACTCTAGTTATCAGAGAAGCTGAAAGCCTTTAGCAGCTTGTAAGCCTGGGATCACTTGTGCTCACTTCTCTTTAAATTTTTCTTTAAAGTTTATTTATTTTTGAGAGAGAGGCAGAGAGAGAGACAGAGTAATGTTTATTTATTTTTGAGAGAGAGAGGGAGACAGAGAGAGAGGCAGAGAGCGACGAAGGGAGAGAGAAAGAACGAGACATAGAATCTGAAGCAGGCTCCAGGCTCCGAGCTGTCAACACAGAGCCCGATGCGGGGCTCGAGCTCACAAACCGTGAGATCATGACCTGAGCCGAAGTCAGATGCTTAACCGACTGAGCCACCCAGGCTCTCTCTTCTCTTTAAAATTATTGTGAAACGTTTCACTCTGTAGACAGAATGACTTAGTGCAAAGAATGTAACAAGCTGGGGCATATTAAATAGCCTTTCTTATAGTCCCAACATTATAGAGATCCTGGCATTGTAGAACGGGTGTCAGTATTGAAAAAAATCTGTGGTAGTCTCTAAGACGAAAGATTCTAACATTTGTGATTCGCTCTTCTCTTTTGGGACAGCAACTAGGACCTTATTGAGATAAGCTGGTGGGAGCGCCCATGCCTTCTCCTTGTTCCGTGAAGAACTGCATTCTTGTTAAAAGTCTGGCAACAGTAGAGCTGGGTCACCGTGGAGTGGCTCCAAACTTAAGCTCTGCATCCCCCGTGGGGTGGTTGTGTGTGGCTGGCGGGGCTCAGATCAGGCGATCATTAACTCCGGATTGACACGTCTTTCCCTGGGCTGAGTTTTTGCACATGCTGCTGAATCCACGTGTGTGAGGAGCCTTCGATCGTTTTCCTTTGTTACGAAGCGTTGGGTCAGCTCAGCTCAGCTGCTGCTGTAGCAAAACCCTGTAAAGTGGATGGCTTGTCAACAGCGGGAATGTGTTTCTCACGGTTCTGGAGCCTTGGCCATCTGAGACCAGGGTGCTGGCACGGCCGGGTTCTGGTGGGGGCATGCTTCCTGGCTCACGGATGACCGCCGTCACCGCTTGCCCAGCATGCGCGGGGATCCCCTGGGACGTCTTTTTTCTGACACCGGATCCGTGTCGTTTCTCCATCCCAGTTCTCCAGCTCTCTGACCCCAACAGGGTCTCCAACAATTAATTCTGACACAGAGTTAGCACAGACCCCACAGGTTTTGGGCGCAGGCCCACAAGACTGCCCCCACTTTCAGACTCCGGTGTCCACCCACGGGCCATAAAATTTGGGGATTCCCCTGCCCTCCACCTTCATGTTCGATAATTTGCTGGAATAACTCCCAGAACTCAGGAAGGCCCTTGACTGACTATCCCTGGCTTATCATAAAGGGTGAAAGTCGGAAACAGCCGAATGGAAGAGGTGCTCGGGGCAGGGTGTGGGAAAGGGTGTAGAGATCGCATGCCCTTCCTGGTGTGCCACCCACCCAGCACCCCAGCCCCTCGATGTGTCCACCCACCCGGAAGCTCCCCAAACCCTGTCGTTCAGGAGTTTTTATGAAACTTACGTTAAGCAGACATGGTTTGCTCTAGCCGTTCAATCATTGGCTACCGGTGATGACACTTGGTCTGCAGCCCTGCTCCCCCCACAGAGGTAGGGTTGGGTGATACAGAGCAGCGGCGAGATCCGACCTCCAACGTACATGGTGGGTGGTCTTTCTAGAGACTGGCCCCCATTTGGAAGCTACCAGCGCCCTGTCCCCGATGTGCGTTATCTCTTCTGTGTGTAGGAAACAGTCGTTTCTGAGGGTTTTAAGAGCTGTGCACCAGGAACTGGGGACAAAAGCCAAATCATTTAATTTTTATTACACACCCCCTCCCAACTGGTCTCCCCGCTTCCACTCTGGTCTCCTAGTGTATCTCCATCCAGCGGCCGGCCGGGATGCTGGTACTCGGTCTGAGCACTTGTGCGGTGGCCTCTGTGGTCCTGATGCGTCCTTGACTTCCTCCTTCTGGTTCTCACTGCTCCAGCCTGCGGGCCTCCCAGCTGGATGTTCCCCCTCCACGGCCCCCTTCCCTCACCTCCTTCCCGTCTGTGTCCAATGACGTCTTCCCAGGGAGGCCCCCGCCCCCGACCTCTGAGGATCCTACCTGAGACCGAGCCACGTCCCCCCTGCACTCACAGCCTCTCTTACACTAATCTACCTTCTAACCGTCATTACCCGTATGTTAGGCGTAGAGTTTGCTGTTTTTCCTCCCGCTAGAAGGCGAACCACGTAGGGCCGGAGTCTTGGGTCCCTGGTGTTTTCCAGGCACTGTGCCTCCCTCGCGGTCAGCGCTCGATATTAACGCTGGAGGACGAGAACATGGCTGGCTTGTTCTAAACTGCCACCCAGAACCTGGACTCCGGGTTCTCTGTTCCCACCATTGCTCGCCCGGCACCCCCGTCCCTGCCCCCAGGGGACGGTACACGCACACGGGGCCTGCAGGGGTGATGCTTGGGCTCTGCCCCTCTGACCCGCTTCCCTCTTCACTTCTAGACCGGCCTTATTGTCGCCTGCTACCACGGCTTTGTGGATACTGTTGTGGTCTTAGCAGAGTGCCCCCACGTTGACGTCAACTGGCAGGACAGCGAGGGGAACACGGCCCTAATCACGGCTGCGCAGGCAGGTAAGACCCAGCTCTTCCCTCCCAGAGCCGAGGCTGGGGAGCAGCTACCCGGTGGTGGGGTTGAGGGGGGCCCCCCCGCACATGCACTCAGCTGGCGAGATTATTGTAAAGACGGGAATTGATCAGAAATCTGTTCTCCGAGTAAGAGGTGCGAGAAACTGCTGCTCAGTATGCAAACACATCATCGTAGTGCATTCGGGACGATGCAGAGTTTACTTGTGCAGAGCTCAGCGTTGGGCGGACCTCACCCTGACGCCCGAACGTGACGCTGCTTCGGCCACCCGGCCTTGTCATCCTTCACCTAGAGCCTCGCGCCCCACCCGGTGCTTGGAGCTGGGGGCCGGGAGAGGCTGGTGGACTCCTAGCTGAAAGAGACACAAGTGAGAGTTACTGTATCAAATCGGCGTATTTACAAGGTCACCTGACACTTGCCTGCAGCGTGAAGACGCCTGCTGAGGGTGTGTCAGGGCAACGAGGCAGGACTGTTGGGGAGACAGCTCGGCCGGTGTGCGTCCCACTGAGTGTCCTCCGGCCCAAGACGGTCATTGCCAGGAGTGGCACTTCTGCCCACACCGCCAAGTGCCTTGTGGCTGTCCTCTTCTAGCATCATTTGTGGGAGACAGACGCAAAGATGTGCTCATCCCTTCAGAACCACGCGTCATTTGTAACTGTGGCCTTGAGTGGGTTTGTCACTTGACCACTTTGTGGCCAAGAGCCAAACTCTTGGCTTCCGAGAGTAATCTGTTTCATCAGTCGGGCTGTCAGTCGCAAAGAAGCCGCTTCCCGCTGAGTCAGGAAGAAAAGGCGTTCGCTTGTTACAGGAATGTAGGACCCCTCACCGTGTCGCTGGGAGCTGCCGAGTGTCGGACTCGGGGCTGGGAGGCTGGCAGAGATACCCCAAGCCATGCCGCACATTGATTCTGGAAACACAGCGTCTGCTGCTACCACCGTAGCGAGACCTCTCAGTCCCATATTTTGCGTCACGAGCGCCTGGGTCAGAGCCAGCGTGGGTGACTCGGACCCAGGGAGCCCAGGGAGCCCGCAAAGCCAGCATCTGGAAGTTCCGTTCCCCGTAATGTAGCAGGAAGTAGTCTGTGCACGGTGCTTTTTGGTCGAGGTGGGTGAGTGGAGAATTCCCCAAACGTAGGGGCCAGGCTGTGCGAACACCCGTTCGCCTCAGCAGGTTTCAGGGTATGAAGCTTTGCCCTCGTAGAGGCACCCCACGCTTTGTAAAGCCCAGGTCCACAGTGTCCTGAACGGCAAAGGTGTAAGAGGCACCAGTGAGGCACTCAGTGATCGTGGCTCCTTATTCAACCCCTCCCCCTGGCCGGGAACCTGGCCAAAGTCAAGGGCAGTTCTGCCCTCAAGTAATTCTCCAGCTCGGGAGGCATCTGACGGCAGGTGCACTGGGTGGTGTGGGCGGAATGGGCCTGGGGGTTCAGGATAGCGGTCGTGCAAGAGGGGGGCTTGAACTGAGTGCCAAGGAACTCAGAGGGAGGCCATGGCAGGCGAGGCATCCAAAGGCGGGGGGCCAGGAGGGAGCCCGGCGCTACTCAGGCACTGTGTGTGGCAGTAGGATTGAGTGTGACTAGGAGAGGTGAGGGGTGGTCCGGTGAGGAGACCAGATCTGGGGACCAGATCATTAAGGGTCTAGGTACCAAATCCGTTTGGGTGCCATGAGGCTGGGTGTGTGACGCCAGGGGCTGACCAATCCTGGGAGTCCAGAAGCGGTTTCAGAGGCAGAGAAGGAGCAAAAAAGCTGCCTGGCGGAAAGTGACGTGTGATGTGGATGGTGGAGGGGAGGTGGCAGCTGGGATGGCCTCTAGCCTCGGGACAGGGGATGACTGATGCAAAGGGGTACACGGAGAGCACTAGGTGGGGAAGCACCGGCCCCATCTGGCACGCAGGCCTTTGAGACGTGACACGTGTAAGAGGTCCCCACGGCAGGTGGACGGTCTGGAGCTCCAAACTCCAGTGCTCCCATGGGGGACAGATCGGGGCGTCAGGGGTGGGTGGAGAGTGGGGCCCACGGCACAGACCAGGCGTGAACACTAGGAGAACGTGCAGTAGGAAGAGATTTCCTTTCTTGCTGATTGGCAAGAACTCTGTGTGTGTTAAGGATTTTGGTTGTGGTTTAATACCCGTGAGACACCTTCTGAATTCTTGCCTTTTCAAAATGTCGCATTGGGACGTCTGGGTGGCTCAGTCAGATAGGCATCCGACTTCGGCTCGGGTCATGATCTCGTGGTCTGTGGGTTTGAGCCCCACGTGGGGCTCTGTGCTGACAGCTCGGAGCCTGGAGCCTGCTTCGGATTCTGTGTCTCCCTCTCTGCTCCTCCCCCGCTCACACTTGTGTGTGCACTCTCTCTCTCTCAAAAATAAACATCCAAAAAATTTTTTTAATTGAAAAAAGAAAATGCATTTTGTGTTCACATAAGAGCAACAATCTGTCCTTTGCCCTTTTTTTCCCTCATTGAGTGTTGCAGGGGAATCAGTGGGAGTCCAGCCTGTGTTTGTGTCTTTGTTGATACCTGGGTATTGCTGAGACTTGGAAATACCTCCCGCCTCATCCTTGACATTGAAAACACCCCCTCCCCAACCATCCTACCTCTCAGCTCCTCTCTGTGCTCGTTTTGACTTGTATTAGGTATATTTTTACTGCAGGAAACACTTTTCTGTTAATCTCTTTGAAACACTACCTGCCTTGTTTTGTTCTTTCTTCCTGAGATTCCCTCTTAAGGGGAGAATAAGTCACCTGGTCCTGCGTCACCGCTTTCTCTCCCTTTTTTTTCTTTTCCCTACCCTTTTAAGCACTGGGTAAATTCTGCATATTACTTCAGTAGTTTATTTTCTGCCATTCACTGGGTTACATTTACTTTATTCGTCTTGAACATGTGTAGGGTCAGTCTGTTCAGCCGTCTGTAACAAAAGTCCCAGAAACTGGAGGTGGGGATTAAACAACAGAAATTTGTTTCTCCGAGTTCTGGAGGCTGGGAATCCAGGATCAAGATGTCAGGGGATTTGGTTCCTGGTAAGGACTCTCTTCCTGGCTTCTTGTACATGGTGCCTCCCTGCTGTGTCCTCACTCCTTGGAGACAGAGCGTGAGGTCTCTGGTGTCTCCTCCTATTTATTTACTTGTTTGTTTACTCATTTTGAGAGAGAGAGAGTGAGCGAGCAGGGGAGAGAGGCAGAGGGGGAGAGAGAATCCTATGAAGGCTTCGTGCTCAGTACAGAGCTCGACTCGGGGCTTGATCCCATGACCCTGAGATCATGACCTGAGCCCAAATCAAGAGTCGGACGCTCAACTGACTGAGCCAGCCAGCCGCCCCGTGGCGTCTCCTCTTACAAGGACACCTGTCCAATTGGATCAGGGCTCCCCTGTGACCACATGGAACTTTAATTATTTCCACAATGGCCCTATCTCCAAATGTAGTCACACTGGGTCTTGGGGTTTCAACATATGAAGGGGGGGGACATGAACATTCATTCTGTAACACCCATCCTTATGCAGGGACCGTGCTTTTCCTGAATTGATGTATTTTAAGTCGAAGATGACGTAGGCCCTCTCAGGGTTAGAGAGAGGCCCAGCAAAGGGGGGACTGCTGAGCCTAGGCTCAGGGCCCATGGCCCTGCAGTATAGGCGGAGGAATCGGGGGCTACACGCAGCCCTGGTTCGTCCCTGTGGTTTCATTTCCAGGCTGCGCGTGGTGGGGCAGCAGCCTGTGTTAATGAGGACGAGCCCCCACTGTCGTGTGCTCGCTCTGTGCTGGGACCACCAGGGACTTCCTGTCCGGCCTCGTGTGCTGGGTGGGTCTAGGTGCCCCCCCCCCCCAGCCCACCTTTCTTTCTGGCCCCGCCCTTCTCGTTTGGGCCGCTGCTGACTTTCCCAAGGTCTTGATGGGCTGCTTGGGGCCTCCCCTGCGTCCCACATCCGTTTCCACCTCCAGCGGTCCCTTTGTGGTTCCCCACAGCTCTGCTGCCTTCTCTCTACTCCTTTGGTCACCCGTGGGAGGCAGGGAAGGGGACAAGACTCGTGTGTTCATGGCCCCCCACTCTGACCTCAAGAGAGCTGGGGGTCCCTGCTGGAGCCTCTCCTCGGCTTGGGTCAGGTTGCAGCGTGGTTACATCACTAGGGATGATCCAAGCATGGCCGGGGTGTATTTAGTTACATGGGCACCACGGGTAGACGAGTAGTGGGCAGGTGCCCGGGCTGTGGCCCGGACTGGGTGGTCCAGCAGGATGGCTGTCCTGGGCGCTTTCTCCGCCTGGCACCAGGGGTGTGCCACTCAGTTGAGTATAAAATAGAACACACAGTGTTTGGAGGAAAACCACATAAGCAGCTAAAGGTCAACACAGAAAGCCAGTAGAGCTCAGGGTGAAAATCTCCTAGCTCCTCCCTCACTCCCAGGGCTCCAGCTCTGTTGCCTGGAGGTAGCCGTGGTTAATTTGATGTGTACATGGCTTTTCTTCTATCTTAAACAATAGGTATATCATTATAATCTATTTTCTTTTCTTTTTTTTTTTTAATGTTTATTTATTTGGTTGGACAGAGAGAGTGAGAGAGAGAGAGAAAATGAGCAGGGGAGGGGCAGAGAGGGAGAGAGAGGATCTCAAGCAGTCTCGGAGCTGTTGGCACAGAGCCCGACACGGGGGCTTGATCTCCTGGTCCATGAAATCATGACCTGAGCCAAAATCAAGAGTTGGACGCTCAACTGAGCCACCCAGGGGCCCCGCTTTCCTTGTTTTTAAGTTTTCTCTTTCTGCTGGTGTCCGTGATCCTTAACTTGCTTACTGAGTTGCTCAAGCTGGGAATGAGGCCACTTCTCCGGCCCCACCCTCTTCTCCACCTGGCTCCCCCTCCCTGTTCCTGGGCTCTGATGCCTGGGACATCCACCCCAAGCCTGCTTTAGAACTGACTAGTTTGGGGGGTGCTGGGAGGGAGGGGCTTTTTTGCCACCTTAAAAAATCTGACTGAAAAGCATTTCCTTGTTTGTCTTAA